GGCAGTTGGGCTCAGCCCAGTGTCCCCCAAAACCCCCAGTTCCCCCCCGGGAAGGGCAGCTGGGCTCAGCCCAGTGTCCCCCACAACCCCCAGTCCCCCCAGGAAGGGCATTTGGGCTCAGCCCCCATCTGCCCACAGCCCCCAACCCACCTGCCTGGATCCTCCCCTTCTGTGTCGAGGCCGGGACAGGCGGTGCTGGAGCTGTGGAGCAAACGGGGGGGGTGGGGCCAGGGACGGGCCGTGGCCCCACCCCCCCCCCCAAACCCAGTTTCACCGTGGGCTGTTCCCCCTCCCTCCCCAAGCCACCAACACCTCCCCGGCCGAGCCGCGCGTGCCCACACCCCGGGCTGGCCGAGGGCCACGGCCGGGCCGTGACTCAGCTCAGCCAAGGCCACGCTGGGCACCGGCGCCTCGAGCGGGAAAGGGGGGGCACGGGGGGGACCCTGGGGGAGCCAAGATACTCACTGCCTTTGCCGGTGACCGTCACCTTCAGCTTCAGGCAGGCCTCACCGTGGTGGTGGATGGGCTTGGCTGCAAGGGGGGAGCTGGGTTAGGGGTGTGGGAAAGCTCGATGGGGACCCCCCCACAGCCCCCCCTGAGCTCCCCCCAGCACTCACAGATGTAGTAGTAGCTGTGCCCCTCCCTGAACTCCTTGCCCAGTGTGAAGGGCGTGAAGCGCTGGAACTTCTCCGAGAACTTCTCGGGGCCGTGCAGGGCGCTGGGCTTGTTGCATTCCCAGCGGATCTGCTCCTTGGAGCTGGGTTTGCAGGCCTGGAACTCCTCGAGCTCCACCAGGTACAGGGTGTAGCGCTCCATGACCCGGGGGTCCACGCTGCCCTCCTCGTAGTGGGGGCAGATGATGTCCAGGTAGTCGTTGAGCCGAACCTCCACCGTGTAGTCGCTCCACAGGAACCTGTGGCAGGAGGGAGGCTCAGGGGGTCAGCGCCGGGGGGGGCCTAACCTGCACCCCCAAATCCCCCATACCCACGGGGGAGCAGCCCCCTGCCCACAGCAGCTCCAGGACGGAGCACCTTTGAGTCCACCCTTCCCTGTGCCGAGTCACACTGCACCTTTTACAGGAAACCCCCACACTCGGCCTTCCCCCCGCCCCGGCTTGGCCCCCCCGGCAGTGAGTGGTGAGCGCACCCCACTTCCCAGCGCTCCCCAGGAGCCGGGGAGCAGGGAGGGGACCGGCTGGGACGCGCTCCCTGCCCGCACCCTGCCCGGCCCAGCGCTGCCGGAGCAGGAGGCGTCGCGGCTCTCGCCGTGGGGCAGCCAGCCCGGCTCCAGCTGCGCCCCACACCCCGCCCGGAGGGGGGGGACACGCTGGGGGCCTCTGTGGTGACCCCACCTCACTGGCTGCAGTAGCCCCGGGAGGGCCCAGGCACTCACAGGGGCACCCCCAGCTCCCCAAACACTGTGGGGGGACACAGCCCTACAACCTGGGGGGGACACGGCCTGGGGATGGGGGAGAATCCCCACGACTGGGACCCAGCCCAGGGAAGGAGGGGAACCCACACAGCGCGGGGGGGGCGTTGGTGCCTAAGTAGGGGGGACCCCCATAGCCTGGGGGTCATGGCCCGGGGAGGGCACCCCCACAATCGGAGGGTCTGGAGTGCGAGGGGAGGCTCCACTAAAGCCAAGGGGGACAATTCTAGAGTCTGAGAGAGATCAGCCCTACAACCGAGGGGGGGGGGGG